AATAACACATGTTTAAAGCTGAGGTCTGTAACTTTAGTCTCATAAATAACATGTTTAAAGCTGAGGTCTGTAACTTTAGTCTCATAAATAACACATGTTTAAAGCTGAGGTCTGTAACTTTAGTCTCATTAATAACATGTTTAAAGCTGGGGTCTGTAACTTTAGTCTCATATATAACACGTGTGTGTGTGCATATGCCAAACACATTTCTAAGCATCATATTTAGATTGCTCCATCAATTACCTTTATTTTGATATATTACATAGTAGTTTGAAAAAAATGTTTTCCGGATTTCCTGTTGGCAGCCATCTTGGATAAGCTGGCGGCCATATTGGAATCGGGGTCGGCCAAATTGTAAAATGAATATCGAATTCAACATCCCTGAATTGTTTCCTTCTTTACTGTGGATTTTAATGTTTATAGTTAGTAAAATAGGGAAGTTACAGCACTTAGAAGATGAATAAAGGCTTGAACTGGCTGAATAGAAGGTTCCACAGTATCCCTTTGTTTTAAACCAAATTACTTTCACTATAAGCGCCTAAAAGCACTTATCAATATGGTAATAAAATCATAACCACTTATCCGATTTTCATAATTCAAAAACTGTTTTATTCCTCTTACTGAGCTGGAAAATACTGTGCTGAATTAAATCTGATTTGGTAATTTAAAAAATTTAATCTTGCATTGCTAGTAGTATACGAGTTTCCATGTGAAGAAATGACCAGAATGATCAGTTATGGAAGTTTTTCTCTTATTCTGATGTAATGTTTCAATAGTTACAGAGGTATTAAAAAAAAAAAAAAAGATCCGGCTGTACCTAGTGATGCATTGGTCATTTAAGCAAATTGTAATGTTTTCCATTACTGACGTATTTAAGGATAAAATGTAAAGTGTCGTTTGACGTGAGAAAAACTTTTACCACTGATTAAATCCTTGTCACGAGAAAAACGAGGGAAATGCTTGAAACATACAGCACTCAGCCCCTCCCCTTTCTCTTTCTGTCTTTCTCTCTCTCTCTCTCTCTCTCTCTCTTTCGTGAGGAAAGAACTATTACCAAATATATTTTTTGTAGAGAATTACATTTATACACACGATAATGTTACTGACATGGAGTCATATGATCACAGAACTTTGAGTTAGATTATAAAGAGGCATTATTTTTTTTTTTTTTTTATCTCCAAGGCGTCTGGACAAGTTTTTTCCCTACATTTCGGTGATATAAAAGTTAGAATGATCTTAGAGAGCATTATACTTTTGGAAAAATAGGGCTTAGGATAGCAGTTGAATGCAGAATTCGGTTTTCATAATCTAATGTTTAAAATGTTAATATTAATTATTTGATAGGTTTATTTGGATTTGTAATTAATCATTGGTGTTGTATGGTAATTAACACACTTGTTTGTGTTTCTTGTTTGTCTGTTTTTTCTGAGAAAACTTCTGTCTGTTTCATTTGGCCAAAATCGTCTCTGCCACAAGACCTCAATTGGGCGCCATCAGCACGGACCATCAGCGTCTCCCCCTCTCCCGGCGGGTCGCAGGGGGCAGCATCGGCTGCAGCAGCTAACAGGAACTCTCGAAGAAGACCTCTCCGGCCTCCATTTCATGGAGAAGAACCAGACTTTTGCACAAACCGAGTGGAGTTATGTGCACGGAGAGGAACGTTGTGTAAACCAAGCGAAAGACACGACACATTGGTGTGCGTCAAAAATGAGACAAAGAAAACATGAAAGAAAAAGACATTGTAAGGAGAAGAAAGTGATTGAAAGAAGAAGAAAGAAAGTGATTGTTTAAAGAAGAAGAAAAAAGGCATTGAGGCAAAGACATTGGACACTTTGAGACAAAAGACATTGAGAGACGCCATAAGAGGAAGACGTGGCTGGGCAAATGAAACAGACAAAAGGTAATATACGGACAGGCAACAAACGCACAGAGACATATGGGACATTTAAGTCATATTTACACATGTAGGTCATTCGTTCATAACACTACATTTAGCTGCATGAAAGAATACAGGACAATCGTTAAAATTAATTAGACTCTTGCTTTAGCATGAGACACAAGGAGATTAGAATAGCAGTATATTTAAGGTAGAGGAGCTCTATTATTGAAACTATTATTGTTATTTAAAGTTATAGACGCGGAGAAGTTTAGAATTATTGATTTTGACTGCATGATCTTGGTAATACGGATATTGAAGGCAATTTTTCAACCTCTGAACCGTGGCTCGTTAATCATTTAAAAACAATCACATGCACAGTTGAAACTGGTGCTAGAAAGAGAACTGCAGCTTTTAATGGACGCTGCATTTAGGACAAAATGGTTTGTTCAGACAATTAAAGTTTGAAAAATGATTTAAAGCATTTCTAAATTTTGGCTAAAGGTGATATTGGATCATTTCTGATAACACATTGACGCAACACTGTTCATTGGTTGAAAACAAGGATGTAGGGACATTTTATGAAATCTTTTATGACATGTTTCTCTTCCAAATAGCTAAATTAGAAACAATTATGACAATTATGTCTTTGATACAACTGTTGACAGTTTATCTGAGACATGATTGGTGCAAGTACGACAACACACATAGAACAATGGTCTTTTCTCCACATGAACGTGAAACAAAGGTGAAGTATTAAAGTTTGAAACTAATTTACATTTTTAAGGAATCCGAACTGGCTTTTTTTTAAAAAAAAGGGAAAAACATTTATTGCACGTGCATGAGTTTTTTTTAAGTAACAAGAGCTCATTAAAAATATAGGGGACACAGTCTGTGACAAGCCCGAGTACAGACCACGTGGTTTAAACACTAAAAGTTTGAAATGGATCCTTTCAGGGAAAAATCTCTTAAAGCGCTGCATGTTCTGCAGGCTCTGAAAGTTGCAACAATAAAATAACTCATGAGACAATTGTAATTGGACACGGAAAAATATAACAAAGTTAAAATTACAGGCCTCCTGTGTTGTCTATATGTTTGTGTGTGTTATATGTTTGTGTGTGTTATATGTTTGTGTATGTTATATGTTTGTGCGTCATGTCAAGTACACTACGTTGACCTTAACAAACTCTGGACCAATATACTAACGTGGGGAGTCGGCCTGTGTGAGTGTGATGTGAGTGTGTTGTGAAATGAGGAGTGAACGAGGAGTGCTGAACGGAGAATGGAATAACAAAAGTTTTCTGTAATGTTTTAATGTGATCATGGAATAATTATTTTTTGTCAACAGCATACGGTGTAAGTACTAGAGATTCAAAGATAACAAGCTTTATTGAACAGGTGTAAAAGTGAGAGTACTCTGGGATGAGTACTCTGAGAAAATACTCTGAGAAAGTACTCTGCGGAAAGTACTCTGAGATGAAATACCTTGCTGAAGGTACTGGGAGCCCCCCTCTGCTGTTTGTCCGGACAGTGATTCGGTCCAACCGCAGTGAGCTGTCGTTGGTTGAAGGACAACTTTGGTTTGTAATTCACATTTAGGGGAGTATAAAATTAGAAACATACATTTTGTTAAGTCTGTATTTGGCTACAGCCCCTGCCCTGATGTCACACACCGTCTGTCAATGCAGTTATGTTTTGCCCAATTGGAAAAAGATTGACAGGCCGCACAATGCTAAGAGAGGGAAGTGGGCATTTCTTGTGTTCTAATATTTCTTTTTCAGATAAAAGATAAACTACACCTGCTTCAGGGATAACACAGTATGGATCATGAGAGGAAATGAGCCTCTACGTTGGCACCAAAGCCCACAATATGAATGGAGGACGATCCGGGAGGAAGCAACTGAAGATGATTGGAACAGTAATCTACACACACACAGACACATGTTTTATACTTGGCCCACAACCAACAGAGGGAGTATAGTAATGTTATTGTCATAGGTGGTCATGGTCCTTAACCTTCTAAAACATTAGAAAGAAGTGTAAAACATATATTTACAAGAACAAATAAATAATGGAAAGGGCAGCCTGAAAGCAAAATGGGAAAATTATTAAGTAATTTTCGGAGTTGCCAAAATAAAATAAAATTCTTTATTTGTCCCATAGGGGGTCATTCTAAATTTAGTGTTGTGCAGATTCAAAAGGAGACATAATAGCGCTTATAACATCAAGCAGATCTACTCTTTAAGATAATAGATCATATAATAATAATAATAGAATAGAATGAAATAGTCTGGAGCTATAATGTCATTGGATTCAAGGAGCTATAGGTTGAAGGGTCGCTAAGAAGAGGTGTCAGAATAAACAATAGTAATAATAGTTAGACTAGTGAATAATCATCCATCCATCCATCCATTTTCATCCCCTTAATCCATTTCTGGGTCGGGGGGGGGGGGGGGGGGGTGGCAGTCAGAGCTGCACCCAGTCCACAGAGCACCAGCCCCTCACTGATCCTCCTGCAGGTGGTGAGTCCACAGGAGTGAATAATCAAAATAGTTCTATTGTGAAAATAAGTATCAATAAGGTCAAATTGTTCTAATAATTAGAGTAAAAAGGAATCAAATGGAGTCAGATTTTAGATGTTTCTGTTTTCCACATCTGTAGGATCTCGTGCAGATGTGTTTATAGAGAGTAGTATTAAAATGCAGACATAGAACGACAGGGGTCCGTGTACGTCGCGGCCATTCTATTTTTGATTAGGAAAGAAAATACAAAAAACGAATATTGGCCGTTTCCCGTTTTCCGTTTTCAAAATAAAATGCAGAAAACGAGAATTTAATCCGTTTTTCGATTTTGTGTTTTAAAATTAAAAAACGGATAACGAAAAACAGGTCATAATCCGTTTTTCCATTACACATTTACACAAGAAACACCAACATCGAAAAACCACGGCAAAAATTTGATTTTCCATTCTTGATCTTATTTTGAAGCTGACCCGGAAGCTGTTGAGGCTTTCCCGCACAGTCAGAGTTTTCCAGTTTTTTGAATGATAATGGAGATACCAGAGTTGGAGAAAACTTTTGTTTTGTATCGAGACAGCAAACGGGTTACTTTAAAAGATGTCGACATGACAGTGGATAAGATTGGCACCATTTTCCAGGTAAGTTTATAAATTTAAATAGCAAAACCTACTGTGTTTATGCTAGTGAACGGTTAGCCATCTAAAAAGGCTAATGGTGTCCGCTGATATACATTAATATTATTCTATATCTTGTAATCTTTAATTAATCTGCTCTCCTCTTCATAATGAATTTTATTTTGTGAGTGTTGATATTGTTAACATAATCGTTAATCTGTTTCAACAGGTCAATGCCAATACCTTATACATAACTGATGATGCAAACACAGCAATTTTTCCAGAATCTTCTGGGAATTTTTTGTACATTAACCTTTCCCATCGAGGGCATTATGAAGTGCACGGGGACCCGATTCATGCGCAGTCTGTGGGTGGTCAACATGGTGCTCAACCAGCAGTTCCTTTTTCCTTCATGCGTAGAGCATCTGCTCCTGCCTCCACTGGGGTGTCCCAACCTGGAACATCTCGACAAAGTCGCCCCAACATGTTTCCTGCTAAGGATTTCCAAAGGTTAGTTTGACTCTTTCATTACATTTTCAGCTCATTCCATAAATTACAATTACTTGCTATGTTCCCCAAGGGCAGTTCATATAGGTGAGGTTATGTCTGGCAAGATCACTTCATCCAGGACGGTGGTAATTCGATTCACTGAATCTGAGGCTACAGTGGACCACATAACTGCGAAAGTGAAGGAGGCCTTGGGCTGTGAGGACTCTCTTACACTTACTGACAGTCAAGGAAATGAAATAATTGATTCACATGCAACAAGAAGTGAGTTGCACTCTTATCCATTAAAAATCATATCAGGAATGTTGAAGAGGATTTTGATTTATGCTATTTCTTTTTAAAGTTCTAATTACTGGAAACAAAACTCAAGGAAAGTATATGCTCTTTACAATGAGGAGTTCCTCGAGTGGAGAAGTGGGAGGAAGAACAAAACAAGGTATGTTAATTTTTTTGAGATTGACTGGTTTGTCAAAACAATTGTTATTGCAGACGATCAGAAGAAACATGCAATCTTAATGGAGTAATTGAAAAAATAGACGATCTCAAACACGCAGCGGAGAGTTTGCCAGATATTACAGAGGCCATCCGTGTGCTATCGGACATAGCAAAGAGAGGAGCTCAGGAAGCGACTCTTACTCTTGCCAGAGACTCTCAACTGTCTTGTGTGTAAAGGTATGTATGTTAATGATGATCATCTAATCTCACTGTATTGTGGGTGAAATAATCAGTTTAATGTGTTTACACTTCACAGGATTACTTTCAGAGCCAATGGCATCAACTTGTTGTAATTCCCTTGTTGGCTGCAAGAAATGTGTGACCCAGTGGCTACTGACGTCAACACATTGTCTGAAATGTAGGGTGGGAGACTTCCAACAAAATGTACATGAGCTAAAAGGTCTTGGTGATGTTTTGGGCCTTTTCAGTAATTAAACTGAAAATAAGTTGATAAGCCCAAATTAAAAGTTCAGTTAAAAACAAATCATCTTGAGGTTAGCAATGATCATTGATTTTTGAGCATGAGCTGATGCGTTTTATTGTTCAGTACATTGTGTTTATACAGTATAAACAGTGAACAGTATAATACTGTTCACTGCTTTGAATCTATACTACTGTATTTGAATTACTATTTTTGCAAAGTTCCAGTAAAATGTATTCCATGCCTTTTAGGTGGAAATGTCATGTTTATGGCTAATAAACGTTTTGTAACAACACACGATGATCATAAAAGCTTTATTTATCAAAAGTAAGTTGTAAAGAGAGTACAAACACTAGGCATTTGTGCCCAGGCATGAATTGTGGGCCCTAATTTTTTCCCTTTGACAGTAGCACATGCCTATTCTAAGATGACAATGCCATATATATATCCAGTGCGCTCTTTAGTATTATACAATTGCAGACTAATTATTCAATAGATTTAGGTAGCTAAAGTCTAGGTCAATGCTGAACATGCTTTAACAACCCAATTGGAAGAACTTGACCCAGGTTAGCAAAATCTTCTTGTTGTGTTAATCAATGAGCTCATAGCATCTTTAAATGGATCAGAGTTATGATTAACCACATTTTCAAAGACATACAATAAATTAACATGGGAGAACTCTATTTCACACTGTACTCTGGCTTCTTCGGAGAGAAATGGATCAGCTCCAAAAACAGATTCTCTTGTCAGTTCAGACCCAGTTTCCTGACGATACCAATCAGCAGCAACATTTGCATCAGGAAGCTGATCTTGGTTGACTCTCACAGGACACCCTCCAGAAGCAAGCTCATCCGGGATTCCTTTTCCTAGAACACAGATGAAATGCAAATCAGTAATCAAAATATGAAAAGATAAACTCATTAAGTACAAAGATGACAAGTGAAGTATGGTGGTCAAGGTCTAAGTACTTAATTTTGTAAGTAAAAGTACAGATAATAATGGTCACATTTTACTGCAATACACTTAAAATTATTAACTGAAAGAACATAACCATTTGCTAGACTTTCTGATAGACAGAACAAATTTGTTCAAATCATTTTGGGGAACAATTTTGGGTAATTTATTTACTCTTAAAAAGTAATAGCGTAAAAAAAATTACAAGTACAGACCCTCTAAAGAAAAGTACATACATTTACTTTATAGTTAATTGATTTTTACTATTACATTGCAAAAGTCTTGAGTAATGAAAGTTATTTTTTCTGTGTTTGCATTTCAATTTATGCAGGGAAATGCATCTTTAAATGGTTAATACAGACAATGACGCTTATAACACACCTGGGATCCTATGTGCGTTCCAGGCCTTTATGACATTGTTGATGCCAATCCCAGCTAACTGGCAGGTCAGGTTTGACACACAAAACCGGGATACGTTGTCTTCCATGTCAAGTTCCTCACTGTCAACCAGCTGAATCAAGGCCGTCTTCAATGGGTAGTTCACCCGTGCATTCACTTCTGGCCACATACGTTCAATGACATGGTTCTGTAAAACAGCGAGAGAATGTTACTCTAGAGCATTGGTTCTCTAAATGGCACATGATCCACTTCTTACAGTTTTATTCAGAGTCAACAAGTTTAGATCATAGTCATTTATATTGATTCTTTAGTAATAATTAGTTTACACTTTATTTAGTACAATTTTGAGTAATATCAGACCCATTTTAGACCATGTGTAGTCATAATTTGATGTTGAGCTAGGCCTTGTCGCTCTAAGGTCTGATATTTTATTAAGTAGGCCTACTTGGTGTGAATGGTTTGAAAACCCAATACAGAAAGATTTGTAGAGAGTGATAAAACATTAATACACATAGGGCCAATGTGTAAAATATCTAGCATGTGCAAAAGTGAATCAACAACAGTCAATTGCACAGTTTTTGGTCATGCAGCATTCTCTCATTTACATTTGATTTGGGGCCGTATGACTAACATAGTCAATTTCAGATGGTAAATTAATCGCAACATACCCACAAATTGCTTTATTCTTGTTTCTATTCTTTATTCTTCACTATTAGCACTTGTCTTGAGAAATTATCCCCTAGAGTAAAAAGTGAATGCTTACCTTAGTGGAAGGCGTTTGAACATAGGGTTGCCTTTGTTGATTGTGTCTGTGGTGTGCCAGTTTTTCTTGCATAAACAGTGACAGATAAAACTCCTTCCCACAATCAACCCTTACTTGGTCCCAGATACCATACTGTTGCACTGCATGTCTAAGGCAGATCAAAAACAGCAACACGTTTTTATTGGGTTATTTTCACATAATAATAATAATGGGTAAATAACTATGTTATATATTACCTGTACACCTCCTCATAAATGGTGAGGTTGTTTTTTATTGGCATTGTAGAATAGCCTACAACCTTCTTGCTGTAACCATCTATGGCCATAACATGTGTGACACCAAACATTACCAGTTTTTCATTTTGATCCATATGTAACTTGTGTCCCATATACTCAGCATTATATGGGACAGGGTTTAAATTGCGGGCACCCTAGAACCAAAACAAAACACAGTATTTATTTATTTTTTCTTAATTTGTAATATATGTGCGAATTGTGAAATGTGCTTTTCTTACCTGTTGGCGTGCCACGAGGTAAGGTTCATTTACAGACCTTAATATCTTCCCCACCCTACCCTCAGAGGCTTTAATGCCTTTTGCAGACAAGTATCCGGTCATCATTTTGCGGCCAAATGATGATCCAGTCTGCAAGAAATAACATTTTCATATTATAAACATACATTGTAAATTGTGTGTTTTGTTCTAAAATACCCAGGAGGAGGCGATGTTGTGCAGTATACATTTACTACAATAATCAGAGGTATGGGACTTATTTTTCACCAAAATTACATTAAATAACAACTGTGCATGAAATGATTGCTGGCCATTTACAATAACTATTGACAATGTTAGTAACAATTTTGTTTTGACTATTATAAGGTAAGCCTTTAGCTTTACCTTTAGCATTTCTTGTCCAGTTTACAGCTATAGAGTTCAGGAATGTGATGTCATATCGCTAAGAATAGTGGGATTAGCAGCAATAATAAACTAATGGAGATTTTTAAAAGGTACAATACTGGAGTAATTGTTCACATTAAAACACCTGGACACCACAGTGAGATAGATGTGTTTACCAGTAGCTGTTCCACAGATTTTCTTTCCACTTTTTAGCTACTGTTAGTCTATGGATAATATGCCAACAGCTGCAAACATGGCGGATCTCCATGGTAACAGTGGATTTTCCCGAAGGCTATTAACGAAGTCACCTCTGCACCACTATACATAATTAGCATACATTTGTGCCGGCGACAAAAAAAAAGTAAAATTAACCAAACACCTGGACATACCTCTGCGATTCCTTTTGAGACTTCAAGTTCAAGCCGATTGTCAGGACAGATGTCCTGATTTAGGCCACGTTCAAAGCACCATCTTCTCACATTTCGCTCTGAGAAACCCACAGTTGGACCAAACTGTGCAGTTAGCGCGTTGGCGATCTCACCACAAGCCATACCACTCATCCTTCTCTCTATAATAAAGTCGGCGAAACTATTTAAGGCCATTTGAAAACTTATTAAAGTAGAAAAAAAGACAAATTAGTTAGCCACTGTAACAGCTGACGTCTTCTCACAAAGTAGAGTGACTTCGGCCGCTTAGTGGCATAGTGGTAGGCATGGTTAACAGCTTCCGGGTCAGCTTCAAAATAAGATCAAGAATGGAAAATCAAATTTTTGCCGTGGTTTTTCGATGTTGGTGTTTCTTGTGTAAATGTGTAATGGAAAAACGGATTATGACCTGTTTTTCTTTATCCGTTTTTTAATTTTAAAACACAAAATCGAAAAACGGATTAAATTCTCGTTTTCTACATTTTATTTTGAAAACGGAAAACGGGAAACGGCCAATATTCGTTTTTTGTATTTTCTTTCCTAATCAAAAATAGAATGGCCGCGACGTACACGGACCGACAGGCTTTAACAAAATTTTAAATCTAAAAATAGCTCAAATATAACATTGCTTTTGATGCAGCCTCTGAGCTGCTCCATTGGAGAACAGGTTAAATGTTATTGTTTATTACAAACAGCTGATGTATTTACACATATTAAGTTTGGGACAACTCTTTAAACAGCTATAAGCAGTGGACAGAAGCCATGAATGTGCTTTTGTTTATTAAATAACTAATTTCATAGCCATATAATCGTAGAGAATGTTTTAAAATAGTTCTCTTCTTCCCGCTCCCTTTCAGGCAACTTGCATGAGTGTAGCCTAGACTAATGTAGCTTAGATTAATGAGATAGATTAGAACCAACAGAGATTCAAAAACATTTAAAAGCATTTTGGTGAATTTGGGTATAGCACAAAAGTAGATGTTTAGATATTTTTGAGAATTTTAAAAGCTGTCGATTTGTCAGCACGGATTAGAAAATCAAATACCATGGTAGAGTAACTGACCCCAAAAACCTGCTAAAATAGATTAGCTCTTGTGAGGATAATACCAATTTGATTAACGATGTACATTCATCCCAAAACTGTCTGAGAGGAGGAAGTGACAGCACTTCCTGGTTCAACAAAATGTATTTGGAAAAATGAGCAAAACCATAGTATAGAGAGCTTTATTAGATAAAAACATATGTTTAAGAATATGGCTCAATAAAAGCAAATATGCAAACATATTTGTAAATAGATTAGAATAGTTTAAACTATAGTGAATAGTTTTAGTGCATACATTACAGAGGAGGTTGATGAAGAATCAGAATGACACAGCAGTAGTGATCAAAATAGTATTGAAGGAATGGTTAAAATGTGGTTTGTTGTGTGTTGTATTCTTTCTGTATTAACTCTTCACAGATATCG